CTTAAATGGTCTATTTCTCTGGCAAATGAGACAATGCAGAGCCTCGTCAGGGGGCATCTCCTGCTTAATCCTACCCATGAAGACTTGGAAGAGGGTCTGTGAGACTCACAGCCAGGCTCAAAGGGAACGTTACTGGTTGGTGCTGCTGCTGAGAAATGTTGAACACGTGGGAGTGCACTCACAGAGCTTGCTGGGATTGTAAGATATTGTGATGACACTCAAAAACAATCACCTACTACAAATCCAAGCCTGCCTGGATCACAGCAGAGCTTCAGCACACAAGGCAGAAGAAATATCACCAGACACAGCAGCAGGAAGGAGAGCAGGGACACCATTTTACCAGGCAAGCCACTTGTTCTCCCTCAAACTGTCACTACAAAGAAAGGAGCCTCCACAATTTGTTTAATCAGCAGTTTAGTCATTTGTGCCAGTTGAGCCTTAAGAAATGGGTACCATAAGGATAATCCTAACTGATGACTGTGCTGTATTATTCAGAATACCCAAATCACTGCTCTGAATGTGGGGAATGAGATGGAGAAATAGTTAAAATTACCCAAATGCAGAGTCACACAAAGGCTTTATTTTGCTTACTTTAAATAGGGGCCGGGATGTCAAGCTACAACAGGCTCTCTGCTCCAAGCTGCACCAGATTCATATTCTACAGTTTCATCTCAATGACCAGAGCAATTATATGATTAAGCAGGTGCACTGTGCTTTGAGGTCTGCTCCACAAGCCCCAGCTTCAATAGCCTCCACCATCAAACTGACAAGGCAACAATGGAAGAGTGAACTTACAGTTCCAGCCAAGAGCCCGTCCTTATGGAAGGAGGGGGGGAGAAAAGAATCCAGCTCCCAGCAAAGATGCCACATTCAGCTCTAAAAGCAGCAGGATGACACCCTTGGAAGTTGATATTTAGGCAACAAACATGATTTATCTCAGTTTTAGCTCCAGTTGGTTTGGTTTGGGCAGACTGAGTTTCAAGTTCTCCTCATGGCAGGTACCACTGGATGTTCTGAGCTGTGTTTAACTGAGTTTTATTTATAAGCCACAACCTGTGCCAGCATTCCTGGCTGCTTTGGGGGCAAGAGGAGGGGGGTTCTCCCAGCTCTGCAGCAGGGCTGCTGCCATGTCTTTGTGTGTTTTGAAGTACCACCACACCATTACCCTCATCCCTGGAGACCTCATTAAAACAGAGCCCCAGAAGCAGAGAAAAGCGCAACGTGACATTGGAAAACGTACATTCCGACTTGGAAAAGTTTCCAGAAATGGCTGTCCTTTAGGAAGAAACTCACAAAAAAACCAACAACAAACCACCACCAAAACCCTACCAAAACAAGACATTCCAGTGCACATGCTCTTCCCCTGGGGACAGGCCAAAGAGAACAACGCCACGTGACAGCCCTATTGCTCAACGCCACTCTTGGAAGGTGTTCAAGTCGGATGATAAGTGCGGTGTAAGCCTCCACTGAAGAGAAAAAGGAATTTAGCCCAAGTGTAAACTGTGTCCTACCCTTTGCCTCAGCTGATCCCGGTGGAGCAAACACCGGGGAGTTTTGCAATTACAAAATGCTCCACAGGTAAACTAAGGAGCTTTGTACCTTTATTCTCCTTTAGGATGAGCCTAAAATTAGAATTAGCTCCGTGTATTACATTCCCTGGTATCTCTGAGGCGCGTTACCAACACTCAGCTCTGGTAAACTGGTCGGCACAGGGAGATTCAAATGAAGCTGGGTGCTATTTATAATTCCCTTCATGCACAAAACAGGGTGACACTTCCCTTTTCCAGCTACCATGCTTAAAAATAGAGCCCAGGGGACTACAACCCAGCCAGGAGCTTGTAATCCACCAAAGGAGGAAAATACATCAGCACAGAATAAACTCCCCACCGAGGGGAGGCTGCAGGGAGCTCACCCTGTTCTGTTTGTGTTGCTCCACGGTGCAGAACAATGAACCCCAGGTTGGAACTGCAGCAGGCAAACAGCCCTGTGGGCACTGGGGGTGTCAGGGTGCATCCCTCACCCCCCATGGGATATACACACTGGCTGGGGCACCCCATCAGCCTCCAGCTCGCTCCGCCCCGGCCCCAGTTTCCGGGTAGTAACAGAGCAGCCAATCCGCAGAGTTGTGAGCTCTGCCCGAGGCCTCCTGCCTGCAAACACAGCTCCAAGGCCGAAACTGGGGGGGACCAGGGAGGGGATCCCCCGCTTTGGCACCCCGAAGCTTCCCTCTCTACCTGAGCCTTGAGCTTAAGCGCTTCCCAGAGGGTCCATAGGAAATCCCTGTGCTTCCAAGCAAGCGGGTCTGGAGGTGTTTTGGGGGGGGTATGAAGCTTCCTACAAAACCTTGCTCGCAGGTGGGGTGCAGGCAGTGCCTCCCTATCTCTGGGTACACAAGGGCTGCAGTCCCCTAAGAGGAGAGGGAGGCAGCGTGGCTCCCACTGCAGGCCCTTCCTCAGCCTTTGCACAGCGTTGTGAGCACGATGAGGAGAGAAACAATGAGTGAGTCAGAGTTTCAGCACAGAATCGTCCAGGCGATTATTAAACATCAGTTCAACACATTAACACACACACACACACACACAGAGCTCTGCCCTCCCTCCAGCCCCAGAGAGAGCTGAGCAACCTCTCCCCTTCCCTGCTCACAAAGAGGCATCCACAAAAGGACAGGGACGTGTGAGGATTGAAAATAGGAATAATAAAAAGAGCCCACTCGGCTCCTAAACCTGTCAGAGCAGAAGGCAGCAGCGTTACTCACTCTGGCCATCACCCCCTCCCTGCTCAAAAAGGTAGCTCCTGGCAGGCCATAAATCCATGCCATTATTCTCCATTGGAGACATGAGAAGGGGCTGAAGAGGGAAAGTGGAATGAAAATGGCAGCAAAACGGGGGAAAAGAGATAAAAAGGAAACCCTGCACAACAACAAAACCCTGGGGAGGAGCAGCCTTCAAGTACATTCCTTCAGATGAGCCCCCTCTCCTTTGGTCAGCACTGAGGCCCTGCTCGCTCCCACGTCTCAAGCCAGATCCCGATTTCAGATGAGCTTCCAGAGAGGCAGATTCCCTCGGGAAGCATCTCCGGGAGCTTCGGCCTAGCCTGGGCAGGCGAGGCAAGGGAAGCAGACAAACAAAAAAGGCTGGGGAGGGAGGAGGAGCAGTGAGGAGTCATCTGACACATCCAACTTCCTAAGTTTGTTGTCCGCAGGAGACCGACCGCTCTAACCCTCACCCCTCACAACACCGGGAAGGCGAAGCCTACAGGAACAAGGGAAAAGGCTTGGGAAAGCTGGGGGTTTCTTTTGTCAAGGAGGGAAGGAAAGAGCAGAGTGGAAATGAGCCAGCGTGGGGAGGAATGCCAGGGATTCGGGGCTTTCTACCTACCACCACCCAGCCTGGCTGCTGCTAGGGATCCAGAATGAAGCCACTTGAGGAAAACCTGCTCTTTGTCTCCTAAAATGCTGCAGATTCCAGCTCCAAACCAAACAAAAAGGGGGAAAAGACATAAATAAAGAGAAGGGGGAGGGGAAAGGAGAGCAGCACTGTATCAGGTTGGGCCTCAGCCCCTCTCTAACCCAAACCTCTTCCCATGCTATCCCTAAGACTGGGTTTATTCTACTCCCCTCCCCAAAGAGCTGAATTCCCAACCCTTCTCCCGGTGCGGTGCAGCATCGATCGCGATCGGCATTCGGCAGAGTGTGACATGTGTGTAACTTTAAACCTCTGGATAAAAATAGCTCCCGATTGAAGCACGAGCAGGAGTCATTTCCTATTTGCTTCAAAACAAGGCAAAAAACCCCCATCCGACTACCAAGCAGCAGCTTCGGACAGAGAAAAAGGCTGAACGTCAAACAGAAGTTTCCCTTCGATAAGGCACAAACAGGAGCCGTGTCGCTCCTCCCACCCACTTCCAAAATAACCCCAAATCCAAGTAAGTTTGTTTATCTCGCTCTGGAAACTACATCAAACCTGGTTCTGGACCCCTCAACACCACCAAGACCCAAGTCCTGCTCAGGGAAGATCAAACACATTGAGACAACACAGCTGGGAAACGGTTTTGGGCGACACTTTGGGTATTACGAAGCCTCCCCCCCCTCCTTCCTTTCGGTACCTTGTAAACAAAAAAAACTATTAATAATAGAATCCCAGCACCAAATTCCCAACGATATTTTGCAACGCCACCCACACTCCGGACATGAGAGAAAGAGGATTCGCCACCCTGGGAAGGACCAGGAATCAAAATAAGAAGGAATATAAACAGATTATCATGGAAGAAGTGGAAGAGGAGGGGGGGGGAATAGAAATAATAAAGCTTAATCAAACCTGGAGCATTACATAAACGGGACCTCCTTTGAGATGAGGGGGTTTGGGCACTGCTGCCCTTCAGCCACCCCCTTGTCACCCAGCCAGGGGTCTGCTATAAGCCAGCCCCCCCCCCGAATTAAAGCCCTTAAGGCACTACCCGAAGCTTCGTGAAGCAGAGGCTGGAATGGGGGAGTCAATAATCATCACAAATACCACAAAAGCCTTTCTTTGGGCTGTGGCTGCCGGAGCTGCTCTCCCCCTTCTTCGTCCTACCCCGGTGGCTGGGCCACAGACCAGGGCAGGCAGGGGGATGCAGGGCAGCCAGGCTGCGGGGTGGGGGACCCTCACCAAACGGGGGGTTTCCTGCAGGGACACCCCTACAGCACGCCGAGGGGTGGCTGTCAAGTCACAAAGGGGGATAACCCCCCCCCAGTAATAAGGTAAAAGGGGATTAGGCCTCTCGCCGGTAACGGGGGGCCCTGACCCTAAGGCGGAGGTAAATCCAATCCCAGCTCTGAGGAGAGGCCTAGGCCTGGCCTCGGAAAGGGGCGCTGCCGCCGCTCGGGGCTTGGGGGGCAGCCACACCGGAGGGTGTCCCTGGTGCCCCCGGTGCAGGCTCGGCTGAGGAGCCGGGTTCACCCCCCGCGGTTCCCGGTGGAGGGTGGGGAGAACGGGATGGGGGGGGGGGCTCGGTAAGGATACAGCTTGACCACGTCGGTGTCCATCCGCCTCTTGCCCGGGCTGGGGGAGGACATGGTGGCCGAGGCCGCCCCCGGTGCTCCGGGCGGGCTGTCAGCGCCGCCGCCGCCGCCCGGGGACGCCCGGCAGAGCAGAGCTGGGGAGGGGGGGCGCCGGGCTCCGAGCCGCTGGGACCCCCCCGCCGGTGTCGCCGCTGTCGGTGTCGCTGTGCCTTGTCCTTGTCCTCCTCCTCCTCGTCGTCTTCGTCCTCTCGCCGCGGTGCCACCGGCGCCGCCGCCCGGTTCTCCCCCACCCCCGGCCGCCTTGCGCTCCCTCAGCCGCTTCGGTCGCCTCTACCGGAGCCTCTCTCTGGACCCCTGACGTCACCCGCAGTGACCTCACCACCTCGCATTGTTGCCATTGGTTGCGCCGGCAACCCCGCCCATCCCGAGGCATGCTGGGAGCTGTAGTGCGGTAGGGAAGGGGCAGAGGGGTGATGGAAGAGCCGCAGGTTCGAGACCCGGCGGGGGCAGCAGGGATGGGGTCACCCCTAAGGTGAGGGGATGACGAGGGGTGATGGCAGTGTCACGGGGGCGTGAAACACCATTAAATCCCAACATCCTCCCTGGATCACACAGCGGGAACGTGGCAGCCGACCAGGCCTCACAGCACGAGTCATCACACCGGCTTTCCGGTGTGACACCAGCAAAGCATAGCCTGGTGCCTCAGTTTCCCCAACCGGACGGGGCAGGGGAGGTCCCCACCAGCACCCCGGAGGTGACAGTGGGGCACGTGATGGTGTTAATGGGTGTCTCTCAAGCCTCCACACCCCGAGGTGGATGTCCTGCATTCCTGACCGCAGCATCACCCCATGAGTTATCTCAACACTTCCTCCATGTGTGGGGAGGTGACACAGCCAAAGAACCCTCAAGCAGAGGGACAACCTCACCCCCCCCCCACACACACACACTGGTGGGGTGATTTCCTCTAATGCCCCAACACACCCCTCAAGCCCAGAGCCCAAAGCTGGGGCAGGAGGTAACACACCCCAGGTGAGCTACAGCAGGAAGAGCAAAGCAGCTGGAAAAGTTGGGATAGAGGGTCCCCCACTCCCCAGTCTTAATGCTCCATGGCTGGTTCCAACTAACTGGGAGAACAGGAGTGGGGAAAAAACAGGATTTTATCTTAATTTCTTTAAATTCTTGTATTTCACCAGTGTGATACCATGGGTTTTGCACCCCCACCCCTTGCACAAGAGTGAGGAGAGGATTTTGGGACCTCTGAGCCCTCCTGGGTCTGAAAATCAGGGCACATGGCTGCGGGGGGTGAGGTGGCTGGTGTTGTCCACTGCGGCATGGGGACTTCATCCTTCCTGGTATGGATGCACCCTATGGATTGTGGGGTGGTTCCCTGACCATGGCAGGGATGGGAAGACAGGGGAGATGATGCTGGAGAAACACAGAAGTTATGGGGAAACAGAAAAGATGTGGGGAGCAAGGGGAGCCATAGGGAATGATAGGAAACCATTGGAAATGGAGGAGCTATGGGAACCAGAGGAGTTTTGGGGAGCTACAGGGATGCCCTAACAAGCACTGGAGAGCTATAAGGAGTGGTGGAAACCTACTGGGGATAAGGGGAACCAGAAGAAACTATGGGGAACTTGTTTGGGACAGGGACATCTGTGGGTCCAGGCAGCTGGGCAAGGGGCTCCTCCATTCCCCATCCTCACCCTTCCAGGGCTGGGGGTACCAGGGTGGTTGTGGGGGGATGACACCCCAAGTTGTGGGTTGAGAGAGAGCAGGGACCAGCCCTGGCCAAGGCAGCCGCTGCCTTCCCAGGCACAGGATGGCCAGAAAGTTCCCAGAAAGGGATGGATTAAGATCAGATGGAGAAAAAAAAACCAAAATTGGAGCTGGGAAACTGAGGCAGGGGAGGCTTCTTCTCTAAAGGGCAGCTGTGGCAGACCTGGGATGAGGAGTGTGCCTGTGGGGTCTCAGCCCTATCCAAACGCCTTCCCCACTATCCCAGAGGATGGAGATGAAAGATCAGGGTCTCCCTTTCCAGCTTCTCCTTCCCATTCCACATAGACCTACCCCTCCCTAGCATCCAGCCTTGTGGCCCCAAGCCATGTGAAGCTCTAACCCACCTCCTCCCAGATTTTGGTTCGATCCCAGCCTCCCCTGCATGCCAGCCTGGGTGATTTACTATGAGGGTGCTGAGGTGCTGGCACAGGGTGCCCAGAGAAGCTGTGGCTGCCCCATCCCTGCAGTGTTCAAGGCCAGGTTGGACACAGGGGCTTGGAGCAAGCTGCTCCAGTGGAAAGGGTCCCTGCCCGTGGCAGGGGCTGGAGCTGGATGAGCTTTAAGGTCCTTTCCAACCCAAACCATTCTATGATTCTACACATCAGGTATGGGAGACAGCAAAAGTACGAGTGGAAAACAGGAAAATGAGGCAATTAAGCACTGATCCCACAAAGACGAGCATCCTGAGGGATACAGGAGCCATGTTCTGGGTCCAGAGCTCATCCCCCCCCAAGAATAAGCACTAAGAATAAAGAAAAAACAAAACTGAAATGTTTATTCCCACCTGGCATCACCTCCCTGTGCTGCTGGTGGCAGGTCACAGCCGGACAGGACCACCACCCTCAGGAGGTGACACATCTCCTTGATCACCCCATGTGGCCACAGCACATCCTGGCTCTGGCTGGGACTATGGAAGCCCTCAGAGCCCAGGGCTCCAGCAGCAGTCTGTGAAGGCAGGGGGCTTCCAAGGCAGGCAGGCAGGCAGGGAGGGGGCCCAGCAGCTGCTGTGGGCTGCATCTGGTGTGGAGGCTCCTCAGCATCACCTTCCCCAGGACACGGAGCTGCCATGGGAGCAGCTTGAAGCAGATCTCTGCCTGTTTGATGTGATGCTCCATGTCAGTTCCCAAAGGCAGAGGCCTGTTCAGGAGGAATTCATGCTCTCCCACTGCCGGAAAATGCGGAATACCTTGGAGGACTTCTCCGAGAGGCTCTGTGAGAGGGGGGAGCAAAGTGGCAAGCAGAGGTTAAGGCACCACAACAGGAGCTGCAACTGCCCCTGACCTATCTATAAAGTACATGAGGAGAAACTCATGTGGCAAAACAAAACAAAAAACCTCTCTTTTTCATGAGCCCTATTTATCACAACCAGAGGGGAGAAGAGCAAGGAGACTGCAAGAAAGAAGAGAGCACAAGTGTGATGGAGAAAGGGCTGAGGGACCTGAGGGGTTCAGTCTGGAGAAGGCTCAGGGGGGACCTGATCGCTGCCTCCAACTGCCTGACAGGAGGATGGAGCCAGGAGGGGCTGGGCTCTGCTCCCAAGGAACAAGGGATGGGACAAGAGGAACCGGCCTCAAGCTGCACCAGGGCAGGTTTAGATGGAGCTGAGGAACAATTCCTGCCCCAGAAGGTGCTCAGGCATTGGAACAGGCTGCCCAGGGCAGGGCTGCAGTCACCGTCCCTGCAAGTGTTCACACAGCGTGGAGACGAGGCCTCAGTGCCATGGGTTAGTGGTGGCTTTGGCAGTGCTGGGAATGGTTGGGCTGGATGAGCTTAAAGGGCTTTTCCAACCTGGTTGATTCTATGATTCCAAGAAGCAGGACGGGATTCAAACCATCCCCTGCTCCTGGTGGGTCTCACACCTCTGACTTTATCTGGTGCTACAGGACCTGCTGGTGCTTTCTCAGTGCATTGCACAGCCACAAGGGGTCACAACTCACACGAAGTCCCCAAGACAAATGCTGAGGCAGGACTGCTCCACTGGTCCCTGCAACTCAGCCCCAACCGAAGGAGGAGGAATCCAAGCGGATAGTAGAGCTTAGGGGCTCCAGGGAGGCAGCAGCAGGTACTGGCTGCTCCACAGCCACTTGGGGACAGGGGCCATGGCCTCAGCTCTGGTCCCCTGGCTCAGCAAACCCCACCATGCAGCAGCCTGGGGCTGCAATCACAGTGTGTACAGAGAGGGTCAGGAGCTCTCGATGGGGACATGAAATGAAACTGGATCTTGGGCAGTGCTGATCTGCTGGGGAAAGGCTGTTATTTATAGCAGCCCTTGTGCAGATCTGAACACAACATTGTTGTAATAGATGAGACCTGGCTGAGAGGCCACCAGCACAGCTAGAGGGGAAGCTGGGGCTCTGCAGTAACAAGCCTGGTTCTGGCCACCCAACTAGGTTTGCAACGATCCCAAAGCAAGCCCATCTACCCTAAATTCACTCCATAAGCTTTCAGCACTAGAACACTGCTGTAGCCTTGCCTAAGTGCTTGGGTCCCTCAGACTCACCACAGGCTCTGTCTCAGGCACTCTGTCACACTTCCTGGTGGCAAGGAGCATGTTCAGCACCACTCGCCAGCCTGGCTCTGCCTTTACAGGCTCCTTCTCCATGGGGCTTGTGGTATCCTCCAGGACTTCCCCTCTATCCACTGCATTCACCCAGGGACACCAGTCACGATGCTGAGAGCTGGGGTCAAAGAAGCTCCTCAAAGACATGTCCTAGGTAGGGGAGGAAGAGAAAATGATGAGGACAGTGACAGAATGGTTTAAAACAGACTCCAGTGACATGATAAAACCCTCCCTGTGCCTAAATATCAGCCTGAATCCTTTATCATAGGATGGTTTGGGCTGGAAAGGACCTTAAGATCACCAGTTCCACTCCCCTACCACAGGCAGGGACCCCTTCCCCTAGAGCAGCTTGCTCCAAGCCCCTGTGTCCAACCTGGCCTTGAACACTGCCAGGGATGGGGCAGCCACAGCTTCTCTGGGCACCCTGTGCCAGTGCCTCAGCACCCTCACAGGGAAGAGCTTCTGCCTTATCTCCAACCTGAACTTCCCCTGTTTCACTTTGAACCCATCACCCCTTGTCCTATCGCTACAGTCCCTGATGAAGAGCCCCTCTCCAGCATCCTTGTAGCCCCCTTCAGACACTGGAAGCTGCTATGAGGTCTCCATGCAGCTTCTCTTCTCCAGGCTCAACAGCCCCAATCTCTCAGCCTGTCTGCATACAGGAGGTGCTCCAGCCCCTGAGCATCCTCATGGCCTCCTCTGGACTTGCTCCAACAGCTCCATGTCCTTCTGATGTTGAAGACCCCAAAACTGTATGAAGGGCACCCTGCCCAGACCCCTCTCCTCACCCTGCCCCAGGTCACTCACTGAGCTGCTGGAAGAGCAGAGCCGTGTCCTCTTAGCTTTACGGAGGGGACTGGATGGCACCTCCATGCTCTCCCCCTGTCCCATGCTGCGGGTGATGGGGCGGCTTCTTGGGGTGGGACTGGGCACCTCCAACTCACTCCGGTCCGTGGGGATAGGAGAGTCCCAGCCCCGTGGTGGGCGAGAGATTGCAGAGGATGGGCTCTTCTCATGCTGCCAGTGGGGAAAGAACAGGGGATTAACAGAGCACCTCTGGTCACCAGCATGTCCTCTGCTTGAAAGGGACAGGGGGGCCCTGCCCAACACAAACAAGAGATCAAAGCCTTCTCAGACATTTTGGTAGGAGTCATCCTGCCTTCTCTTAATACCATGGGCATTCAGATTTGTCTAGATGGAAACAGAATCAAAGAATGGTTTGGGTTGGAAGGAACCTTAAAACTCCTCCAGTTTCTAACCCCCTGCCACAGCCAGGGACACCTTAGACTAGAGCAGGTTGCTCCAAGCCCCTGTGTCCAACCTGGCCTTGAACACTGCCAGGGATGGGGCAGCCACAGCTTCTCTGGGCACCCTGTGCCAGCGCCTCAGCACCCTCACAGGGAAGAGCTTCTGCCTTATCTCCAACCTGAACTTCCCCTGTTTCACTTTGAACCCATCACCCCTTGTCCTATCACTACAGTCCCTAATGAAGAGCCCCTCTCCAGCATCCATGAAACCCCCTTCAGACACTGGAAGCTGCTCTGGTCCCCACACAGCTTCTTTTCTCCAAGCTCAACAGCCCCAGTGTTCTCAGCCATATATGGATGATATGGATATACCCCTGAGTCAGAGAACCTCAAGCTGAACAAGCCCCAGGATGCTGGCTGGAATGGCCCTTTTTGTGCCCTCCTACAGGAGGGCCAATGGAGAGGAGGACAGAAAGCAAAGGGCAAAGGCAGCAACAACCCATTTCTGTTGTACGATGGCTACAGCTGGAGACACAGGACTAAAATGTGCCTCTTTCGAGGCAAAAGGCACCCAAACTACATCAGCCTTGCCTCCTGTATGCCCCTTGAGCTCCCTGGGCTATACCTGTTCAGAGCCTGGTGGGAGCATGTCCTGGCTCCGTGTGAGCATCCTGCGTGGAGATGTGGACAGGAGCGGGAAGCGCTCAGTGGCTGTGCTGCTGGGGCTGCACGAGTCCAGCTCCAGCCCTGCAGACTCCAGCTGGTGAAAGCTCCACAGTCCCACCTTCCTCATGCAGCGGGAGCAGGAGATCACTGAGAGGTGAACTGAGCCAGAGCCAGCACTGCAGGGACAGAGCCAAGGCAGGAGAGAAGGTCAGGGATGAACCTGGGCCCACAACTGCAGCTCTCACAACAGATGCAGGTATTTGCCAGAACACGAGGATGGTTTCAGTTGCCAGCACATTTCAAGGCATCAGTGCCCCTGGGTTGAGGCACAGACTCAGCTGTTTGTGCTAAGAAGTAAAAAACCCCATTAAACCCCATCCATAGCATTGATTTAAACTAGCTTGGTTACACTTTGGCTTGCCATGAAGCAGGAGCACACCCATCAGCCATGTCCCCATCCTCACTGGCCCAGCCACAGCGGTAGCCTTGCTCTTCCTCAACATAAGCCCTTTCCCAGCCTGCACCATAAGAGATCTCTTCACCTTCAGCAAGCTGCCTCAGGCCCAAACACTGTGGGTGTTCTGCTCACAGCTTTGGGAAGCTGCAAACCTTCAGGTCACAAACCTTCCCTCCCTTCCTGCAGGCCTGATGAGCAATGAAAGCATTACTGAGAATGATATCACAGTGACTGACTTCAACATCTACAAGAGCAACACAGGGGCAACCAGCAGCTTGGTTGTTTCAGGCTTTTTGTTATCTCAGAGAGACATCCATTTCAGGTTAGGGAGCTTTGCACTGGGGTTTCTGGAAGTCCATCAGTTTCTAACAGCTGGAGATAGTAAAACACTGAAATAGAATCATAGAATGATTTAGGTTGGAAGGGACCTTAAAGCTCATCCAGTTCCAACCCCTGCCACAGGCAGGGACCCCTTCCACTAGAGCAGCTTGCTCCAAGCCCCTGTGTCCAACCTGGCCTAGAGCACTGCCAGGGATGGGGCAGCCACAGCTTCTCTGGGCACCCTGTGCCAGCACCTCAGCACCCTCACAGGGAAGAGCTTCTCCCTTATCTCCAACCTGAACTTCCCCTGTTTCAGTTTGAACCCATCACCCCTTGTCCTATCACTCCAGTCCCTGATGAAGAGCCCCTCTCCAACATCCTTGTAGCCCCCTTCAGACACTGGAAGCTGCTCTGAGGTCTCCATGCAGCTCCTCTTCTCCAGGCTCAACAGCCCCAATATTCTCAGCATGTCTTCATACGGGAGCTGTTCCAGCCCCTGATCATGCTCATGGCCTCCTCTGGACTTGCTCCAACAGCTCCACGTCCTTCTTATGCTGAGGACACCAGAACTGCACACAGTGCTGCAAGTGCAGTCTCGCAGAGCAGAGGGGCATATAGGGGATACTGAGCATTTCACAGGAGGAACAGCCACATCCTTCCAGCCTCTCACAGGTTTCCACAGCCTCCACTTCAGCACCAGTCCTACAGCACCACTCACCTGCAAGTCCAGCCACACAGAGCCAGGATGCAGGCAGGAACCTGCACTTGCAGGGTTTCTGAAGCAAACTTCACTGGTGGTTTCTCTCCCTCTGTTTTGTGCTCCAGTTCCTCCCCGATCAGCTGGAGGAGCAGGCTGATCCTCTCCTCTGTCAGGGACTGTGGGGCAGAGAAAGGGGGCAGAGCTGAGGCAGCCTGATGAAATCTGCTGCTTCTACTCACAAATCATGTCCTACATGGAGGACAATCCCTTTTTCTCTCCCTAAAAGGGCTGGTGAGCCAATACTTTACTCTGGTTAACAGGAAAAACAGTGTGATGGCTTCTTCTTGCCTTGTGTCCATCTGACTCTCCCCATTGCATGTACCTGTTCAAGCACAAGCCTCAACACTCCTCACACATTCCTCCTATCCCAGGGAGGCAGCAGGGGCTGTGTTTGCTTTTCCTCAGGCAAACCATGAGTACTTCTGGGGCCACTCCTGAGACACAGCAAGAAGAGAGAGTCCCCAAAGGCTCAGTCAGGCTCCAGACTTGCTGCTGGGGAGTTAGATGTGGAGATGAGATACATCCATTGGCTTTATGTGGTCTCTCTTCAGAGGGCTCTGATGGGTTGCATAGCTCAGCCAGCCCATAAAACATCCTGAATGGATGAAGAGTTCCCCAGTTCCCACATGGCTTCTTGCTGCTGACAGCCATCTGCTTCCCAGCAAGCAAGTACCCAAGAAGCCACACTTGGCTGGAGTAGAGCAGGGCCTGGCCAGGTCCCTATGAGAAGGCAATCCCACACCTGCTCCTAGCTGTAGCTACATTCCAGCTTTGTGTGCCAGAGCTCCTGCTCTTCCCTCCTGCCTGCTGAGCCCCCCTGTACCACACTCCCAGGACTCCTTCACCTTCATGGGCTTCTACCTGTACCTCTGCTCCAGGGCAGCCTCTGGCATCCCAAACTCCTGATCCCACCTAATACAGTGACTGTCTCCAGTCTTGTGGGATCCCAGTTAAAGGGCTGCCACAGATCATGGAGTGCTTAGATACAACTAACAGGAATGAGGGCTGCCAGGGAGAGCTCCTTAAGGAGCCTATGGGACCCCAAACTACTTTTGCCAGGCACCAAAGAGCACCACACACACTGGGAAAGGCGTAGAATGGGAACCTGACACTACAGCCCACCTCCCATTGTGGTGATGTGAGCCCGTTGTGCCTGCACTGATCAGAGAGAAGAAGGCTTTCCAAGCACCCTTTTCCACTCATCACCATGGTGAGAATACACAAGGAGAAAGCCATGGTGATGGCAGACCACTCACATACATAAGTCTCTGGTTTTAATCTCTCCACTGTTTCAGTCTGTGTTTGCACAGCACAGGGGTGCCTAGCACCCTCACTGGGGACCTGAATGCACCCACAGTAGGGTAGATGGGAACTCACCATATTCTTCATGTCTTCTGGTCTGAGCGAGGGCAGCTGCAGCTCCAGCTGACACAGGCTCTGGAAGCGCTCCAGGAAGTCCTGGAGAAGGGCTCTGGGCTCGTCCACCAGCAACATGGCAAAGCGGTCTGGTGAGAGCAAATATGGAAAGCCTGAGCTGTGCCCTCAGCATTCCCACCACCTCCTGATGCCACAGGACAAGAGAGATGAGCCCAGGTCTCCCCATAGCAGCCTCTTGGCTTGTAAAAGAGAAGCTGAGCCCTTTCCCTTTGCAACCACCCTTGCAGTATAGCTCTGAAGATGAGCTCTATGACCCTGTGTCATGCAGACCCCCCTGTACCCTCCCAGTTACAACCCCAAAAGCATTTTAACTGCCCTAGAGGCACACAAAGGTTAAGAGAGGATGGGTACAGCCCAGCCATGGCTCAGTTTGTTGAGGCTGCTGAAGGACACTGCTTTGCCATTGTATGTTTTATTGTCCCCATAAGGAAAAAGAGGACTGTGATGACACTGCTTTGACAGCCTGAAGAGTAACCATAATTCTTACAAAGGATGACAAGAGCAGCGACAGAAAGGGAGGAAAAAGCAGGGAATAATGGTGGATATGGGCTCTGAGACACCAACCTGGGCAGGGACTGTCTGGCCAGAAACAGAACTTCTCATGAGCAGTGCACAAGGCCTTCTTCAGCTCCACGCAGCGCTCCTTATCTGCAAGGCAAAGCTCATGTCTACTCCCCTGCAGAGCCACCCCCTCAGGGAATGGTTGGGAAAACCAAACCAGGAGAGGAAGGCACCAGGCCATGAGGGGTTCCCTGCTCCTCCTGGGTGATGGATACAACCTGAGGCTGCAGGTTGCAGAGCCTGAAGCTCTCTTCAGACTCATCTCCCTCCCACCAAAAGGAGCTGTTCCACTTCCAGCCTCCCTGTAGGCAACCACAGAGCAGTGGTTCCTGTGGCAGTAAAGTCAAGCTGGCTCAAGGGGTTTCCTCCTCCACAACAGGCATCACCAGAGCAATTCCACATCCCTGCAGCCAAAATCCCTTCCCATTCCCAGGCACAGCAGCCGTGGAGCAGGAGAGCCAGCCACATTGCACAGCAGTGCAGTGGAAGCAGCTCAGACCATGGGCACAGGGACCAGCTGCTTTAGTCAGTTTTATCTCTTAGGTCTGCTACCAGTCCTTGGCTAATTCTCCTGACCCCTTCATTCTTGCTGTAGGAGCCAAAGAGCATCCATGTCTGGAAATCAATCTTTCCCCCCCAAAATATTTCATATTTAAACTTAGTCACACCTTTCTGAAACCAAATAATTAATTTTTAATGTATTTTCAAGCCCTTCAACCTCTGATGATTGCTTTCCTAAACCAGTGTGATCACCAACAGAATCATCAGGCCAAGGTTTACCATGAAAAGATAGTCTGAACACAGGTCAATATGCAGAGTGAGCCAAAACTAAGTGCTCGTGCAGCTCCCATTACACATGGCCCAGGCTGCATTCGTTAAACAGCAGGGATCTGCTCTCTGCTACCTCCCAGATAACAAGAGCTGGGACTTGCAGTCTAGGAGGATGGGAAGTGGAGGTGACTTTTACTTACAGAGGGACAATAGATGTCTTTCTGCGGAAGGCAGAGGCAGGTAAAGGAAAGTGAAGGTCTGGGCATATGATAAACCACAGGCTTTATCATCACTACCCTGTGGCTTAGGAGCATTCCATGGAGGCTGGAGTTCCTGCTGCTCTCCCGGCCCCATGTTGTCCAACATAGGAGACACAGGAGCTCTTACTGCTCATTAGTTGTACGTTATAGTGTCAGGACAGGCCAGTGCTCCACAGACACAGGAAGGAAACTGGTGCTGGGCCTGGGCAGGGAGCTCAGTGAGGGCAACACAAAGGGGAGGTTTACTGCTGGTAGTTCAAGTAGATCATAGAACGGTTTGGATTGGAAAGGACCTTAAGCTCATCCAGTTCCAACCCCATGCCATGGGCAGGGACACCTTCCACTAGAGCAGGTTGCTCCAAGCCCCATCCAACCTGGCCTTGAATTACTATTTAACATTTAGTCAGCCAGTTGGACTAGATGATCATTCCAGATCCTTCCCAACTGGAGCTATTCTATCCTAAGCCATCTCTGACAATGGAGGCAGGAAGTTTTACCACTTCCTCACAAACTAAAGGAAATTTATTCAACTTGTGCTTTATTTTGAGAAACGAGCACCCAGCATGTCCCATGACAAGAAAAGAAAGACACACCAAGGGAGACACTGAGGTGCTAGAGCAGGGCCAGAGAAGGGCACTGAAGCTGGTGCAGGGCCTGGAGCACAAGTGTGATGGGGAAGGGCTGAGGGACCTGGGGGGGTTCAGTGTGGAGAAGAGAAGGCTCAGGGGGGACCTGATCGCTGCCTCCAACTGCCTGACAGGAGGATGGAGCCAGGAGGGGCTGGGCTCTGCTCCCAAGGAACAAGGGATGGGACAAGAGGAACCGGCCTCAAGCTGCACCAGGGCAGGTTTAGATGGAGCTGAGGAACAATTCCTGCCCCAGAGGGTGCTCAGGCATTGGAACAGGCTGCCCAGGGCAGGGCTGCAGTCACCGTCCCTGCAAGTGTTCACACAGCGTGGAGACGAGGCCTCAGTGCCATGGGTCAGTGGTGGCCTTGGCAGTACTGGGAATGGTTGGGCTGGATGAGCTTAAAGGGCTTTTCCAGCCTGGCTAATTCTATGACAAGACTCCAGAAGTCATTTATGCATATGATTCTATGGTTCTATGATGATGCATGTACACCCCCAAACCCCACAGCCCAGGCCATACCCACCAGGCACCAGCATACATACACTTGTTGAAGTCAAATGCAAGCTGCAGGCTCATGCAGAGGAAGGCCTGGCAGCTGGAGCACTTCAGCATGTCACATTCCACATTGACCCAGCCATACCTGGCACAAACCAGGGGAGACAGCTCGTGAGGCTTGCCTGCCCACTTCAATGGGTGCTCACATTAAGGAAAAAATCCCAATCAGTGGATTGACCAGGCAGAGCTTTGGCCAGGGTTTACTTGGGCAAAGAAAAGCTTCCAAGAAATGAAGTCTGCAGAGAAACCACAGGAAGGGTGGCAGCAAAGCCGTGCCCCATCCCTGGCAGTGTTCAAGGCCAGGCTGGATGGGGCTTGGAGCAACCTGCTCTAGTGGAAGGTGCCCCTGCTCATCGCAGAGGGGTTGGAACTGGGTGAGCTTTAGGGTCCCTTCCAACCCAAACAATTCTATGAAGCAGGGTGGGGAAGACTGGAAGCTCAGCATCAGAAAGGATATGGTGAATGTTTCCACCCTGCTGAAGTAGGCTTCCTTGCTGGCAGATTCCAAGGAGAGAGCATCCTTTTCAGAAGATCCATTAGTTGATTCTGACCAGTTGGACATGTCCTTCCTGAAAGGAACAGCAAAGTCAGCAAGTGAAGCATCTGCATTGTCCTGGGAAGACTCCATTCATAGGAAATGCACAAAACACTTCCTAATCTCTCATCCTGCAAAACCCTTTCTCCAGAGCTCCTAAGCCCCAGCTTTCAATTACTTTAATCCCAGTCTGGTTTAGGTTGGAAGGGACCTTAAAGCTCCTCCAGCTCCAACCCCTGCCACAGGCAGGGACCCCTTCCACTGGAGCAGCTTGCTCCAAGCCCCTGTGTCCAACCTGGCCTTGAACACTGCCAGGGATGGGGCAGCCACAGCTTCTCTGGGCACCCTGTGCCAGCGCCTCAGCACCCTCACAGGGAAGAGCTTCTGCCTAAGAGCTCATCTCAGTCTCCCCTCTGGCAGATTCAAGCCATTCCCCTTCTCCTGTCCCCACAGGCCCTTGTCCAAAATCCCCCTCCAGGTCTTTTGTAGCCCCTTTAGGCACTGGAGCTGCTCTGAGGTGTCCCTGGAATAATAAATCCATTTTAAAAGCAGTGCAGCAAGCAAAGGTGTGAATGAAACATTCCACAATGATCAACAGCAGCAGACAGGGATTTGATGTGACAAGTAGATGACAAGAACTTCTGTGCCTGGCAAAGCCAGACTGACAACTGCAGCTTGTCTCTGATGTTGTGGCTGCTCCCAAGCTCCCAACACCAGCATCCATGGCTGGAACATCATCCCTGTGGCAAGCACTGCCCTTTGGCCTCTCTTTAACACTCCTCCATGGACCAAAATCCAAGGCTGGCTGGCTTGGGAATGAACAGTGCCTCTGACAGTGGCCGCAGCTGCTTGACTTCAGTGATTTGGGTATCTACCCCCAAAGCTCTGCCACCCATTGCCCATCAGTGCCTTCCAGACTCCTCAGTGCCCACCTCTGTGCCACCCCGGCGTGTAGCCACACAGTCTTTGGGTCAGAGACCCCACACTTACCCTGTTCAGCTCGCTCAGACTGCAGGGATATTGGTACTCTACCGGTCATTTACTGCCCCTGTCTTCCCAGTGCTGCTTCCTACTGCCCACTACTGCCTCCCAGTGTCACAGCACCTTAATCCGCACTCCTGCCTCCCCACACATCTTACCCTCCCGGTATTCCCAGTGCCTCCCAATTCCCCGTATCGCCTCCCAGCGCCCCGCACCTCCCAGATTCCCCCTCCCCGTGTTTCCCAGTCCCTCCCAACCCCCTTTTCTCTCATTACCCCCCCCCCCCCCCCCTAGTAACACCTCCCAGTGGCCACCAGCGCTCTCCATCACCCCCCAGTGACTCCAGTCCCATCCCAGGACCCTTCAGCATCTCCCATCGCACCTCCCTCCCCACCCCCAGTAACCCCGAGTGCTCCCGCCCCCCCCACCCAGCCCCTCCACTCCCCTCACCCTTCGGGGCCGGCGCCCTCCGCAGCGATCCCACCGCCGATGAGGTCGCGGATCTGCTGCGGGGTGACCGCGGGCGGCCTGCCCCGGGCCCCCGCCGCCGCCGCCGCCTCGGCGCTGGGCGCCGCCATCTTGGTCCCTCAGCACCTCACGGCCCGGGGAGGGAGGGCAAGAAACGTGGCCTCACAGCAGCGTTCCGGCGCCGCCGCGGGGCTCGCCATGCCCGCACACAGCTCCCGCACAGGCCCCCACGTCCGCACAGAGGGTTAACGGAGCGCTGCCGCCTCCACCGCGGGGCCCAGAGTCCCGCCGCAGCCGCTTCACCCCCTTTCCAAGCTCCCTCTTTCGTCGCTCTGTTGCTCCAGCCTGCCCCCGCGGCAGCTCGATCGATCAGCTCAGCACTCACAACAACGGCGTTCGCGCCTGGGTTTCCCCTACTTGCCAACAAGCCAGCTTTTCATAGGTAGCGAAGGAAGAAGCTCGCCGCTGATTGGTTAGTGGCGGGGGCGCGTACGGGAGCTTGCCCTGAGGAGAGCGGTTGGGGCCATGTCGGCGGCGGCCGGAGGGTGGGAGGGCGACGGGCAGGGCCCGGGCGGCGCCGCGGGGGCCGGCGGCAGCGGCCTCCTCAACCGCTTCGTGCAGCTACCGGGCAGGCCCCGTTTCACCGGTGAGTGGCAGCCCCGCGACCTCGGGTGTTGGGGGCCGGGGCACCCCAAGGCGCTGAGGGGATGGGACCCTGCGGCTGGGGGTGTGACACCGGCCCCGCGGCTCTGGGGTATGCTGGGGGGATTTGGGGTACTCCATGTGTATGGGATGGGGAGGGGGGGAGTTGTGTGGGGAGGGCTGCGGTGTTCCCGGCCCAATAGGTCTGGGATATGGGGGTACAGTGAGAAGGGGGGCGATTATCTCCTTATAAATGGGCGTAGGGTGCTGAAGGGGACTCACAGGTTTGGGAGTGGAAGGGGGTCACCCCGTTCCTATGCCTTTAAATGGTGGTGGTTCTTCCCTCTCTAACTCAGCAGTCTCCTTGGTGATGCTCCACATGCCCATGGATAAGGGAGGAGTGGGAACGGGGAACCTCACAGTCCCATTTGGGGTCAACCCCATCACAGTCACCCTGAGTTCCTGAATGGATTTGTATGAGCCTATGGTGACATTGCTCCTTCAATCCCAGTATATCAGGTTTTTGGGGTGAGGGATTCCCTCCCTTGGAGGGGTGATGCTGGGATGGTGGGTCCAGGTAAGCAGAGGGCCATTGGATGAGACATCAGCCCAGTCCTGTGCCCTAGGAAAGCTGGTTCTTCCCTCTCTCCACCTCCCTTTTAGCAGTGTTGGTGTGCTGGGGGGGGGTTACCCCATGACTCTGGACCCCTAGCCCCAAGAGCCCCAAGATATTAGGGGGAAGAGGTTGAGGTTACCCCATAATCACAGCACTGGGGAGATCACCCCTTTCCCAACAGCTTTGTGATACTGGAAGGGATATGGGGCACCCCATGGTTATGCGATGGGGAGGATATCCAGTTGGTTTGGGGTCCCATAGCACCCCAGTTCTCAAGGACCACATATTGCTGGGGTGTGCCACCCAGCATGGGGTTACCCAGGCTCAGGGCATCATTTCTCCCCTGGCCCAGCCACTCAGATCCCTCACTGCCTATAGGGTAGCAATGTCTGGAGCACCCACAGCAGCTGGGAAGGGGCTGTCGGTGTGTCTATCTGTGTGGAACCTGTCTCAAGCTGGATTTGCAGCAAGGATGAGCGAATCCCTTCGAGCCTTCTGCAAGGCTGCTGTGAATGTGCTGAGTGGCCCCACACCTTCTATTTTTGGGCAGATTCTCAGACATGTTTCCTTCCTTCTGTAATAAAGGCCTTTTTTGGGAACACTGGATGTGATTAAGTTCCTGAATTTAATCATTGGCTTGAGTGAACTGGGAGCACATCCCCCTGGTACAGCTGTAGTGATCCCACTTTTACCTCTGGATTCTGTGCCAATGTGGAATACTGCACACAAGGGCAGATGCTGCAGCCCTGGTGACATGCTGCCCCCGTTCAGCTCAGCTTTAGCATTTAAGTCCAACCTGAGCAAACCCAAAGCTGATTGTCCACCTTCCTGAAAAATTTCTTGGTGGAAAACCCCCATTTGAGCCAATTCCTGGAGTTTTCTCCCCATTTGACACCTGATAATGTCCTATTTCTAGAGCTCCAGCAGCAGCTGCCTTTATGTAACCATTGAGATAGGGAGGGAGGAGTGGGGTTTTTACCCCCCCTCCTTCCATTTCCTCCAGCCAGGTTTGCTTTCTTACCTCCCAGTTCTCTTCCAGAGTTTCCAGGAGCATTCCTTCATTTCCTCCCCACCATCCAATGCCCTAGACTCTTTCCATAAGGAGAACTATCTCCTTTTAATCCCATTTTTATAAGCAATTCCTGTTGTGAAAGCATGTGAAGAACTTGCAGCACACTTTGGCATTGGATGTGTTTGCTACATGAATGTGTTTGCTACATCCCTCCCTGGAGAGCTCTTTTTGCTCCTGTGTGTCATTTGAAGTAGATCTGAACTATCTCTTGGTTAAACAGAAGAGCATACATGTTGATCTCGGGGCTGCTTCTGTCACATTCTCCTTTTCCACCTACTTGCAGAACAGATTTTAGACCTTTGTCACCTTGTTAATTTCATTTGCATGGAGGAATGACCACAAAAAAGTGAGCAGGCAGTAAGTGGGAGCTGGTGCCAGGGTTGTGCTGCTCCGTTTGATTTCTCAAGAGGAGCATTTCTCTTGAGGGTTTCTCCAGAGGGACATTTCTCAAGCAGCATCTACAAACCATGACTTAACAGCTCAAAAAAACCCCAAACAATCCGTGGTTTTGCTGCGTTGTGATGGGTAAAGATTCTTTATGCATCTAAAATCATACACTGGGGAAAGAAAAGGGAAGAGCAAGTTTTAGGTGCTTGTAAGCTTTGGAAAGACCAAAAATGTCAACTATAGGTGGTGTGTGGTTTGTTCTTCTCATCCCTGTCCACATTTAAACTGTTTCAGTGTTTTCACCAGACTCTTGGAGTTAAGGGAATAGAAATAATCTGCGAGACCAAAATATATCCCATTTATGCCCTTGCCTGGAGCTATCATTTCCCAGTGTAGCAGTCACATTAAGAGGTTTTCTGTATAGAGAGGTTCAGGTTTTAAATCCCAAACATCCCAAGTCCCTGTGTCCTGGTTGGAAGCAAGTTGAAAGCTGTTTCGTTGAAGAGCAATGTCCATGTGATACCTTAATCTTACCTTAAGGGAAACCTGGACAGGCTGGAAGGGTGGGCAAGCAAGAGCAGGGTGAAGTTGAACGTGACATCCCAAGGGCATTCCAGTATGGACTGGGATCTGTGTGGTGTGGGGAGCAGCCTTGCTAAAAGGGACCTGGGGGTCCTGGTGGACAAAAGGTTGTGTGTGAGTCAGCAGCAAAGGCGAATTGGGTCCTGGGCTGCATCCACAGGGACATTACTGGCAGAGAGGGATGGAATCATCCTGGTCTATCCAGTGTTTGTCAGGCTGCCCCTGGGATGCTGTGTGCAGTTCTGGTCCCTACAAGTCAAGAAAAACAAGGGCAGACTGGAGAGGGTTCAGAGGACAGGTTGGGAGGAGAAGTGATTGAGAGCAGCCCTGAGGAGAAGGACTTGGGGGTGCTGATCAATGAGAAACTCCCCATAGCCCGGCTTCAGTGTGTACTTGAGCCCAGAACCCTGCCTTGTGCTGGGCTGCACCCCCAGAGCATGAGCAGCAACTCAGGGAGGGGATCCTGCCCCTTTGTTCTGTTCTGGGACCTCACTTGCAGCCCTGTGTGCACTTCTGGTGTTCTCAACATCAGAAGCACATGGAGCTGTTGGAGCAAGTCCAGAGGAGGCCATGAGGATGACTGGGGCTGGAGCACCTCCCATATGGAGACAGGCTGATAACATTGGTGCTGTTGAGCCTGGACAAGAGAAGCTGCGTGGAGACCTCAGAGCAGCTTCCAGTGTCTGAAGGGAGCCTATGCTAGAGAGGGACTTTTCATAAGGGACTGTAGTGATAGGACAAGGGGTGATGGGTTAAAACTTAAACAGGGGAAGTTTAGATTGGATATAAGGAGGAAATTCTTTCCTGTTAGGGTGGTGAGGCACTGGAATGGGTTGCCCAGGGAAGTTGTGAATGCTCCATCCCTGGCAGTGTTCAAGGCCAGGTTGGACAGAACCTTGGGTGCCATGGTTTAGTGTGAGGTGTCCCTGCCCATGGCAGGGAGGCTGGAACTGGATGATCTTAAGGTCCTTTCCAACCCTGACTATTCTATGATTCTATTACTTCTGGTAACCTGCTGCTGCCAAGGAATCTTTGTGCTGTTTTGTTTTGTTACTCCTGGCTATTCATAGATTTCTGTTGCTGTCAAGGTCCCAAAGTTGGAATTTAATAAACTTTGAAGCTTGTGTTATAATAGAAACAGTATTTATGAACCAGCAGGTGCAATTCAGCTTCATCCTCCCCTGGGGACACCAGAACTGCACACAGTGCTGCAAGAGGGGTCTCACCAAAGCAGAATGGAGGGGCAGTTAAGATCACTTCAATTAATAGAAGAGTTTAGTTACAATTTAACTTGGTTTATCATTGTCCATTGCTTGCATAGGTGACTCAGAAGATGGACAACTTTTTTCCCTGTTTAATGAGTAGATAAGTCATCTTCTCTGAGCCTCCGCAAGTGGGAGGATCTAGTCCAGTGAGATGAAATGGTCAGTGAAGAATGAAGCTTAAACCTAGCAAGCTGGGAAACCTTTGGAGGGAAGTCAGTCCTTCATGTGGAACATGGGTTGAGCAAACAAAGCCTGAATAGAGCAGAGAATGTGTTATTCTTGAGCAGAGCAAAATGAAATTGGTTGTGTTTATAGCTACAGGGGCTCTGGTTGACATTTCCAGTTCTCCTTTTTTCTGGGAGTCACCACCATGTAGCAGGCACAGCAGGAGGAAACATTTTGGCTGCTGCCATCCCCAGTTTGATGCTTAATGCTGAAGACAGTGGATTTCCCCCTGAATTCATGGCCAGGGACAGGCCAGGATCTATAGCTTTTGACAAAGTTACCGAGTGAGTGGTTAATGGACTTTGTTCCTGTACTGCACAGAGTTCTTGGATTTGATGGGAATGAACAGGGAACTAGCGGCAGATGTGGTTTACAGCAGGAATGCTGCAGGGGAAGGATGGCCCTTTCAGGCTATCTCATTTGGGTACTTGGAATTACCTAGTTGACAGCAGCTTCACCTTCTGCTGCCCTTTTTGTGTCTTCAAAATATCTTCCAAAAAGCATCTTTTAAAGACAGGAGATGTGTTTGCAGGTAAATGGAAAGAGGTGAAACCAGTTGGCATGTCTGTGGGCTTCATGTACCCGTCTTGCTATCTCAAGGACCTGCAAGCATCAAACGTTGATGCCTTTCTGTTGAAACTTCACTGTTCTGGGGCTTTATGGCAAAGTCCCTCTTTGATTCTGGGAGGTGAATGGCAGAGAAAGTCTCCTTGGTTTTGTTCTTGAATCTATTTTCTTTGAATTATGCCTCTTCCTTTTCAGTCTGTTGGCATTATATAGAACTCAGCCTTATTTATGTTGGGCGCTTCTAAGGTTAGGCTGGATGAGGTGCTGGGACATCTAGTCTAGACTCTGCTTTTGGCAAGAAAGGTTGGACCAGATGATCCTTGAGGTCTTTTCCAACCTGGGATTCCTTGACTTTATGATTATTCTCTTCTGTCTGGAAGATTCTCATGGCAAGGGTTATAACTAGAGGGAAATAGGATCTATAGTTGAGGTAACATTTGAACTCCTCATTCCCTGTCACCTTTTAAATTCAATGAGTGACTGAATTAAATCCTCACTCCCCTGCAAAACATGTACATCAGTGCTCCTAATCATTGCTGGAATTAAGCTCCTGTTCCAGTTCTTCCAAGTCATCTCTTTGGAGACCTTCAAGGCAAACAGAAAAAGAAACAAGGAGGAGCTGCCTGTGGCCAAGCATATACACGTGAGATCCTCTATAGGCTGCAGACGCACGGGCACTTCTCAAACACAGTTTTGTTTGCAGATCCTCAACATCAGATGAATTCCCCTCTTGAAGCATCTCCAATTTCAAGAGTCTGAAGGATCACCTTGACTAAATACCTTTATTGTCAATGTATTCACTTCAAACTGAATCCATCTCTTTGGATAGCTTAAGAGTTTCAAATAAAGAAGTTCCAAAGGGATGGATGTTTCTCTTCCCAGTTGTGAATCACCTCTAAAGCACACAATGTTTGTTTAACAGTTTAGGCCAGTAGCTTCCTGGCTGCCACTGTGAGGACATGTAACACCCACCCTTTCTGTGCTGCAGTGTCCATGCCACACCATGTGTCTGAGGGTGCTGCTCTGTCTCAGTAGCCAGGCCAAAGACTCCAGATTTTTCCACTAATTCCTTAACTTTCTTCCCCTCTCTTTTAGCCAGTGCTGATTTTCTAAAGTGGGAATTGCTACAAGACACAATTATTACTGGAAACAACCCAAATCTGTCAAAACAGGTACAAGGACCTGCAGAGCAGCTGAGTTCTGGACAACAGCTGGAGCTTAAAGCAGCAAATGGGGAGCATGATGAAACAAAGCTGTTTGTGCTGAGTTAAACATTACTGTGTCTGGACAAAGCATTTATTTCACCTTTGCTGTAGGAAAGATTCTTGATGGCTTGTTCATTGTTGTCAGATTTGTCGCTGAGGATTGTAACAGCCTCTAAGAAGCAAACATGGGTCCTACTTCAATGTTTCTCTGGGTCCTGTTCCATCCTAGAAGTGTGTAAAAGAGCTGTGGGAGCAGTTGGGTGGTGAAGATCTCTGGTTTGTTTGGGTGAGGAGTCTTCAGTGAACTTCTTTTGATGCCTCCGGGCCATGTTGGCAGGGTTTGGAGCAGTCTGCTCTAGTGGAAAGTGTCCCTGTCCATGACAGGGAGGTGGAAGTGGATGAGCTTTAAGGTCCCTTCTAAAACAAACCAGCCTGGGATACTATTTTGGGCGGTTTCTCTTTACTGTCAACTGAACCAAAGCAGGTCTTGAGGTGCCACAAGCAAAGGATGTGCTTGAGGGAGTGATGGTTACGCACTGAAGTTGTACATCTCGGGGACTATTATGTATCCTCCTCAAAATGAAGCTTAGAGTTACTCTCACCATAACACTTGTATTGCATAGAAAACATGATTTTTGAAACCTCCCTGTTTTCTACATTTGTCTCAAACCAGCTTCTTTGTTCAGGACCTGATCATTTTCTGTTCCTTTCATGTTATTAATTCCTTTATGGACCTGTATCTTGTAGGAAAATATCCATGTCTGGCACTGTGCTTGGCTCTTGCTGTGCATTGAACCCGAGCAAGCTTGGAATTGCTTTTTGATCAACTGCTGTTCTCCAACAAGAATATTGCTCTATAGGTTCTCCTGGACTGAATCAGTCTTTTATTGTCTATTCCAGTTCAGTCCTGAGCCTGTCCTCCCTGATTTTATTCCCATTGGCTTATAGTAAAGAGGGTGGGCAGCCCTTTTGGAAAGGGCTGTGTCTGCCTGTAGTGAAGCATCTGTAGGATCTTGGATGGGTTCCCTCTGTGCATCCTCCCAGTGAAAGTGCCTTTGTCTATAAGCAGATTTTCATCATGGAATGGTTTGGGTTGGAAGGGACCTTAAAGCTCCTCCAGTTCCAACCCCTGCCATGGGCAGGGACCCCTTCCACTAGAGCAGCTTGCTCCAAGCCCCTGTGTCCAACCTGGCCTTGAGCACTGCCAGGGATGGGGCAGCCACAGCTTCTCTGGGCACCCTGTGCCAGCGCCTCAGCACCCTCACAGGGAAGTGCTTCTGCCTAAGAGCTCATCTCAGTCTCCCCTCGGGCAGGTTCAAGCCATTCCCCTTGGCCTGCCCCTACAGGCCCTTGTCCCAAGCCCCTCTCCAGCTTTCCTGCAGCCCCTTTAGGCACTGGAGCTGCTCTAAGGTCTCCCCTTCAGGAGCCTTCTCTTCTCCAGGCTGCCCCAGCCCAGCTCTCTCAGCCTGGCTCCAGAGCAGAGCTGCTCCAGCCCTCGCAGCATCTCCATGGCCTCCTCTGCACTCACTCCAACAGCTCCACATCCCTCTTGTGCTCTTTGCTGTATCAGACCTGTGTTGCTTAATGTTTAGGTAGCTGAGGGGTGTCCAGGGTGAAAGAGCCTTCTTGAGATACAAGGTGCAAGGAGCAGAAGAGAAGAAACCAAGAGCAGGTTTGTGTAGGAGGGGAGAGCAAATCATTACTTTTCTTCTTTATTCCCATCTGGCAGCTCAAATATAAACATTTTGGAACTGTTTCCTAAGTGAGATCTGCCACAGAGAGTGACAGAAGGGGGAATTTGTAAGATAGCTCAGAAATCGGTCTCATGGAAGGATTGACACATGGATTGTTGTGCATCACCCCACAGGCAGGTCTCTAGGCTGGTGTGGTCCAGGGCCTCAAGACATGAATGCGATGGTGACATAGAAGCACAGAATGGCTTGGGTTGGAAAGGACCTTAAGATCATCCCGTTCCAGCCCCCTGCCATGAGCAGGGACGCCTCACACTAGACCGTGCCACCCAGAGCTCTGCTTGGAGAAGTGGATCTGTCACTACAGAGCTGTGTCCCCCTGGCTGCAGCTGTGCTTCCCTATGGCTAAATGCCAGACACTCTTGTTGGAGGATCACCAGAAAGCTGGAATTGCTTTGCTCTGGAGCCAGGCTGAGAGAGCTGGGCTGGTTCCACCTGGAGAAGACTCCTAAAGGGGAAGACCTTAGAGCATCTCCAGTGCCTAAAAGAGCCACCAGTGGATGTATTCCTGACCCTCACATGCAAGCTCAGCTCCTCTGCTGTCCATTCACTGAATCTCTTTTAACTTCTTGTTTTGTTGTAGGCCACAGATCTCCACCAGCAAGAAGTGGCCATCGTTGTGTGGCAGATAATGCCAACTTGTATGTGTTTGGAGGCTACAACCCTGACTACGAGGAGTCTGGAGGGCCAGAGAATGAGGACTACCCCCTCTTCAGGGAACTCTGGCGGTACAACTTTGCTACAGACACCTGGCACCAGATGAGCACTGAAGGCTACATGCCCAGGGAACTGGCCTCCATGTCACGTACGTATGGAAACTCAATTCCTTTGCACCCTCTCCTGAAGCTATTTTAATCAGTGTCACTTGTGGAATGCAAAACTGGGCAAGAACTGGACAATTTGGATCCTACTTCCAGCTGTAGGCCTTGAGTTTGAGTGCCTTTTGTGATTTTTCTTTCCCCCTTTGCTGAGGTTAAGGCAAAGAGTTTCAAATGCAAGAGGTTGTCCTCAGGTATTTAATAGTTGCATTGCACCTGCACCTCCAGCAGGTTGATGCTCAGTGCACTCAGACATCCCAGAGCATCCCAAAATAGATCTCTTTGTTCATTACCCATTTTTAAAAGTAGGCCTTTGGTTTCCATGGTTTTAGGTTGCAGTCTTTCTCCTTTAGGGCATTGCAAAGCTATAAATGCAGAGTGTGAATTGTAGGGTATTGAACAATACTGAACTCTCTGTTGTCTCCAAAGCAGTCTTGTTCTGTTTCGCTGCATCTCACAGCAACAGCTCTCATTGCTCTGTCTCCTTCCCCTAGTTGTGCTTCATGGCAACAACCTGCTGGTGTTTGGGGGTACTGGGATCCCCTTTGGGGAGAGCAATGGCAACGACGTCCACGTCTGCAATGTCAAGTACAAAAGATGGGCTCTGCTCAGCTGCCGAGGAAAGAAACCAAATCGGATCTATGGGCAGGTATGAAGGACAGAGCCTTGTGAGGCACTTTGTGCCTGTGTGCACTGGGCTGTGTGCCACAGAGCACAGAGCTCTCTTCTCTGCTAGTTGTTCTCTGTGTATGTAAGTGTAAGTAGAGGCAGGTTCACTCATAAATAGAGCAGTCTCGGTTCTTTAGGTTTTCAAAGGAATAGTCTTCTTGTAGTTAGAAAAGCCAGAATTTGTTCACTAACTGTCAGATGCAGTTGAATGCAAAAGTGTGCCTGACTTAAGGAATGGTTCTAGAGTTCTAGGTAGGTTCTGGAGTCGCACTGCAGCCTCCTTACAGCCTTTAAAACTCAAGTTATAAGTGCAAACAGTGGCCAGTAGATCTTATTTGTAATAGAATAACAACTTTGAGGACTTTCCATAATATCCTGGGTAAACATGATGTACAAAACAACAGACTGACTCTCACAGGAGGCTGCTACCTTTTGCTGTGCTTTCCAATAATACTCCCAATGTACTTGTGGTGCAGACATTTATAACCCATCTAATGTCTCCTTCAGATGCGTGCCAGATGGTTGGATAAAGAAAGCAGCATTCACTTTTCCCAGTTCAGCTCAAGCTGGCGTTGGGCAAACAGGTAGTTGGGAGCAGAATGTGTCTGCTTCCACCTTGGACTGCACCAGGGAATGGTGCCTTCACAGTTTCGGTAGGGTAATAGTCCTGTGTGCTTTCCAATTGCACACTCTCTCTGTTGTTGAGTCTGAATTGCCCACTGTGGGGTTTCCCCTGTTTATCCTTAATGCCACTGGCTATCTCATAGCTGGTTTATAAGAATCTCTGTAACAGTATCTGTATAAGGTCAGCATGGAAGAGATTTAGGGTTAACTGTGCTTTGGGTTTAGCTCCTGAGAGCCCCTGCTGCACTGATCTGCCTTGTGTGATGCCTAAAACTCAGCAGCTCCACTTCTAGGTCTTCATCTTGTGATCATGGAGTTACTTTCCACTCCTGCAAACACCTCCTGCCCCCCATCTATTGTATATCATCTTTGTTTGCCCTTCATGCTGCTCACTTTGTGAACTATAGGTAGAACTTTTCAGGCAGTGTCTCGCTTTGGGAGGGCAGGAACCCTCTCTCAGACACAGGATGTCATGTGTCTTTTTAACTGGTTTCTCTCTGTTACCTGCCAGGCCATGGCCATCATCAATGGTTGTCTCTATGTGTTTGGAGGAACAACTGGTTATATTTACAGCACTGACCTCCATAAACTTGACCTCAACACTAGAGAGTGGATCCAGCTGAAACCAAACAACATGTCCTGTGACATGCCAGAGGAGAGGTGAGAAGCTGGGCAGTCTCAAAGAGCTTTTGCACTGGGGACTCACCGTCTTTACTGGGAGTGAGAGGCTGAGAACACACAGGCAGGGTGCTTTTAGAGCAGTGTTTTTGGCTGTGAACCTGGCACAGCCAGTGCTCCAGCAGCCTGGTGTGCAAGGGGATGTGAAGCCTTTGCCAGGATGCTGATTTGGACTTTGTGGTGCCAGAGCAGAGCTGGGGACCTGGAGCAGCTGGTGAGTGCTGAGGAAGGGAAGAGGTTCCAGTTGCTCCGTGTCCCTTGTCCTGTTCTGTACCAAGGTGTGGAGGAAGGAGGGCAGGGAGATCAATCTGTGACCATCTTAGGTTGGAATATTAATGGTTAATCATGGTACTCCATAAATCTTTGTACTCTGCTCTCAGAAGATGCCTTTCGAGCTTGTGGGGTGCAGCTTAGATTGCTCATGAAAGCTGCCACTTCTTCTGAATGCTCTCAACCTGAGGGACTGATGCAGCGTGGCCAGGCTTGGGGTGTCTGCTTAAAGCACTACAATGTAATGGTATTTTCCAGAAGACTTTTGTTGTTGCACTGACTGCTTGTGCTTAAAAGTCCTTTTTGGTACTTCCAGGTACAGACATGAAATAGCCCACGATGGTCAACGGATTTATATCCTGGGAGGTGGAACTTCGTGGACAGCTTATTCCTTAGATAAGGTAATCACCTTCATTTTGCACATCTGTTATCAAAGATTCTCCTTTTAAAACACTTGGGACATCTTTCTAAATGTTGTGCCAAAGCAGGAAAGTGCAAATACCTAAAGGTGGGCCTAAAGGACATCTGGAGAGGGGCTTTGGACAAGGGCCTGTAGGGACAGGCCAAGGGGAATGGCTTGAACCTGCCAGAGGGGAGATTGAGCTGAGCTCTTAGGCAGAAGCTCTTCCCTGTGAGGGTGCTGAGGCTGCCCCATCCCTGGAAGCGTTCAAGGCCAGGTTGAACATAGGGGCTTGGAGCAAGCTGCTCCAGTGGAAGGGGTCCCTGCCCATGGCAGGGGTTGGAACTGGATGAGCTTTAAGGTCCCTTCAACCCAAACCATTCCATGATTCTAAAACAAAGAAATTCCTTGATGTTAAGTTCATATATTGATACGATGACTCTTCTCTTCCCCCTTAATTGTAAGCTTTAATTTCCTTTCTTGTGGTCCACGTTTCTCTCTGATACAACTTGGGGAGGGAAGAACACAGTCATCTTGAGCGCCAAAGTGATAAATGAGGACACTTCAAATAGTGCTCTGCTTTCATGTAAGCTGAAACTGCAGCAGGGAAATGACTTTTTATCTCTCCATTTTCTGCATTTCTTTCCTCCTTGCGTGCAGTATGAACTAGGCATTTCTAAACACTTCTGAGAACTGGAGGGCGTGGGTTTAATGGCTACAGGTGTTTAGAAGCACTATTCTTTTTCTTCAGCTCTAGGGCTGAAATAGCAAAGCCTGAGGTGAAAACTTTAGTAAGCTGCTGTTCTTTGAAGGTGATTTTATACCTGCTTAGTCACTGGCTGAGATTAGCTATTTTTGGTTTTACACTTAACGAGAAAGAGTTGGTATTTATAGTGGTTTCCTGGGTCAGAGCCTGAAACTACGTCATCGGCGTGATGGGAGGGCTAGGAGAAACAAATGGCTTCTCTTTGTCTCTTCAGATCCATGCCTACAACATTGAAACCAACACCTGGGAGGAAATTGCCACAAAACCTCACGAAAAAGTTGGTGAGTCTGGAATTTCCCCCTGGAATTCCCCTTAGAGAGTGGCCAAGATGCTTGAAGATGCAGTTTTTTGGCAGGCTGAAAGCCTTCTTCATAACCTTGTCATACAGAATGTGACAACACTGGCTTCAAGGTCCTGCTTGCTTAGAGCTTAAACCCATCTGAAGCATATTTAGCAGCCTGGCTTCTGTCCCTCCCTGGTTGGGAAGGATGACAGTGGCTGGCTCTCCTCCCAGAAGAAGATACACATCACCTCTGCTCCCTTTGAGGGACCACATGCTGGCCTGGGTAGCAGCAAGGGTTTTCCTGGAACCTTGGCTGCTGCTTTCACCAAGCCAGAGCTGAGAGCTGGAGTCTGTGAGGAATGAGATTCCAGCACATTTCTTCCTTCCCTGGAGAGCAAGTAGGAGTCAAATATGAAACAGCAGTTGCTGAATTAGAGATGTTATACCTGGGATTGTAGGAAGAAGCCCCTTATAAAGGAAGCAAGTGCCTCCTATCCATGATTATGTGTTGAAATATAATCACCAGTTTGCCCAAGCACTTTAAAGCAACTATAATTGATTCTTCTCTTCATTCTACTCAGGCTTCCCAGCAGCCAGAAGATGCCATAGCTGTGTTCAGATCAAAAATGGTAAGATGTACCTCGAGTACTGGTGTATCTTATACGATCTAGCAATGAGAACCTCATCCTTCTAGCCTGAGAGCTGCTGACCTCCAGCACACATTTGAGACTACTGCAGGGCACATGTGTCTTTTCTGGAAGAGGATTTCTTTCTGCTTAACAGGCCTTAAGCTGCCCAGTTGGCACCACTCCGCTTCCCAGGAAAGTGCTGGAGTCACCATCCCTGCAAGTGTTCACACACCATGTAGACGAGGCCCTCAGTGCCAGGGGTTAGTGGTGGCCTTGGCAGTGTTGGGGAATGGTTGGACTGGATGCTCTTAAAGGGCTTTTCCAACCTGGCTGATCCCTTGATTCTATGAGGAATCTTGCTGCTGTAGGTGAATTTACTCCTGCCCTGAACAGTCACTTCCTGGAATTCTGCAGTATTTTATGCAACATCTAAAGCTCATGTGGCCATCTCAGTGTAAAAGAGCACATTTTAGCCACGAGTGTCCATGGTGCTTTGCAACTTCCTGGTTACAAACTCCTGAACAGGTATGAATGATGCGACTGCTACAGCTTGAGGACTGTATAGTCTTTACAGAAAGACAAAGTGAGGCCAAGTCCTGGAATCCAAGTTCTGAGATGAGATTGTTCAGGGATGATCTTAAGGTCCTTTCCAGCCCTAAGTCTTCTGTGGTTCTATCTTTACTGTGAGGGTGGTGAGGCACTGGAATGGGTTGCCTAGGGAAGTTGTGAATGCTCCATCCCTGGCGGTGTTTAAGGCCAGGTTGGATTGAGCCTTGGGTGACATGGTTTAGTGTGAGGTGTCCCTGCCCATGGCAGGGGGTGGGAACTGGATGATCTTAAGGTCCTTTCCAACCCAAACTATTCTATAATTTCTTCTGATCAATGTCAGAAGATAGAGAAGGCTCCAGGGAGACTTTAAAGCAGCTCCAGTGCCTAAAGGAGCTGCAGGAAACCTGGAGAGGGGCTTGGGACAAGGGCCTGTAGGGACAGGCCAAGGGGAATGGCTTGAACCTGCCAGAGGGGAGACTGAGCTGAGCTCTTAGGCAGAAGCTCTTCCCTGTGAGGGTGCTGAGGCGCTGGCACAGGGTGCCCAGAGAAGCTGTGGCTGCCCCATCCCTGGCAGTGTTCAAGGCCAGGTTGGACACAGGGGCTTGGAGCAAGCTGCTCTAGGGGAAGGGGTCCCTGCCTGTGGCAGGGGTTGGGACTGGAGGAGCTTTAAGGTCCCTTCCATCCCAAACCAGGCTGTGATTCTGTAAGTGGCCCCTGTGCTGGGACTGATTTGGGAGGTTCTGAGACCTTCTGTTGAGGTAAAACAATTGCTGATCCTAAAACTCCTCTGGGAAGGTGATCACTGACTTAAGTCCCAGCATGTTCAGCAGTTTCTGCACTAAGGATGGCTTTCCTGTCTTACAGATGTGTTTGTTTGTGGAGGATACAACGGAGAAGCCATTCTGGGAGACGTTTGGAAGTTGAATCTACAAACTTTCCAGTGGGTCAAGCTGCTGGCTGCCATGCCAGAGCCAGTGTATTTTCACTGTGCTGCTGTCACACCAGTAAGTGACTCATTTGTTTCCTACGAATCTGAAGTTCAAACTGTTCATCCAACCACTCTGACGTTTGTGTGGGCTGCAGATAGAGCTGAAGCAGGGTTACCAAGGAGGTGACCTCCACTGTAGGAGCTAAAGGCTGGTGTGAGGTCACTGCATCGACTGCTTTTACTCCTGCTGCTGTTTGAAGAGCTGGAACACGCAGTATGTTCTGCTCTCTAAAAGCAGTGATGCATTTTAGCTTTTAAACTGTATCAGCTCTGAGGACTAATTCCATGTATGAGCAGCAGTTCTTGTTCGTAGAAGGAAAAAGGACAAATAGTGCCCTAAGTAAACTGGTTTTGCTTACTGAGAGCAGCCTGAGGTGAAGGATTACAGGTGAGTAGCATTCTTTGGAAGACACTGCTGACAAAATATAGGTTAGTATAGGAAATATTTATATATATAGCAAAGTATAGGAAGGTATTGCCAGAGCTGTTTGTGTTAACCAGAAGCTTAGAGACCTGTGATTGATAGGTAGGCTGCAGGCAGCAAGAAAGACATTTAGCTGTGATTTCAGCTCATCATCACCTTAGGGCAGTGGGTGAGGGCAGAAATCAGGTTCTTTGATTGTAAGTGCAGATTTGACCTCGTTTGGAGATAGCTATAAATGCAGCTTCTTGGGAAACTGGTCTGATGAAGGTGTTTCCCAAGCAGGGAACTGCAGGTGGGTGCCTGGACACAGCAGGAATGCCTTTTGTTTTCCTGTGTATTGAAGAAATGCCACTCACAAAATAGGTTAGCAGCTGAGCTTCTCCCATTTCCCATGTCACTCCTGTGCTGAGGTAGCAGAGGGAATGCAGCATATATATGTATGGTGGGGGTTTAGTTTAAAAGAATACATTCTTTTTAGCTGAAACCCAAGTATGGTTCCATACTAATTTATTAATGCTTTTCCCAACTCTTAAAATGTATTTTTGGGGGTAGAATTCACCTAAAATACAGAGCAGAGTGCTGGAAATAGCAGATCCATGCTTTGGGATGAGCCCTTCAGCACTGATTCCTCCACTTGGCTATGAGAGGAGCACGACTGGCTCAGGCAGTGACACTTCTATGTGCACACAGAGGTGTGTGAGCTCAATCTCACTCTGTGATTTAACCAGCTGGGAATCTGGAGAGCTAAATCCTGCTTTTCCTCCCTGTGTTGCTCCTCAGCACCTTCTGTGCCCTGTGTAACTCCCTCTTTTCCCACCTAGGCTGGCTGCATGTACGTTCATGGAGGGGTGGTCAACATCCATGAGAACAAACGAACTGGCTCTTTGTTTAAAATGTGGCTGGTGGTGCCCAGCCTGCTGGAACTATCCTGGGAGAAGCTCCTGGAATACTTCCCTCACTTAGCAATCCTCTCCAGATCTCAGCTTCTGCACCTTGGACTGACACAGGGACTTGTTGAGCGACTAAAATAAGACCAGCTCATGCTTCCGTCCAAGACATACTACGTTCCAGAAGCCCCCCTTCCCACCTCCCCTTATTTATGGATACCATGGATGGTCTTGCTAAGAACATGGAGGAACCTGCTCAGCGCCTTATTCAAGCAACTACATCGATGCCTTCCTAGAGATTGTTACTTTCAGTTGTTGAAAAGCCACTTTTTATTTATGGATCTCTAAATTACACCATTTAATCCAGAAAACTGTTCTCTGGTACTGTTTCATAACATCCAGCCATTGATCTGGTGTCAGCACATGCTTGCAACTAAACCGGGGAGGGTGGGAGCTTTGGGAATGTCCAAACCCATGCTTACATGTGGTGCACTCAACTTTTTATTTCTATCCAACAGAGGATGCTCAGTGCGGAGCAACAGCCACCCTGTTCTTTTGCTTTGGAGAGCACTCATCCCCTGCCACTCAGCTGAGCTCTCTAAACCCAACAGCTCCTGCTTTTGAAGGCTTTGCATGTGTTCCATGGGCATGTTCCCATCTCTTGGAGCTTCAGAAGACGGCTGGAACGTCGCATGGGGCAGCGAGTGAAGCTTTGCCTGTGCAGCTTTTCCAGTGCAGTGACTTGAACCACCCCCTGTCTGTGTGTTCCTCACCTTTTCATGTGGAAATGTTTGCTTGGAAGACTGCTTTAAAAGTTGCCACTTCCTGGACTATTGTGTAGTTTACTCAGGGTGCTGAGGGGAGGGAAAGGTTTGTGCTGAAGCTGTTTTAACTCTTGCTGCTCACCTTGCAGCAGCAAAAACTCACCCTGGAGCTGTCAGAGCTCGCTTTTAACCTGCAGCACATCAGACCCAGTGCCTGGGCATGAGCTTTGTGTTTTTCTGCCTGCCATATAGCACATGTTGGCCTTTTTCTACTCAGCTTCATGTTCCCCTGGGGTGGGGATGTTCTTGATGTATGTGGTTTTAACCAAGGTTCCCAAGTGGCTTCCTGGCTCCTTGGAAGCTCATGGATTGCTCATCCCAGGAAACACAGCATCAAAAGAAGGGGAGAGGGAAGATCTCTCCCTCTTGCTGTGAGCAGTGGTCATGGCCACACAGGCAGGAGGCTGGCCCCTGTGTTGTTGTGCTCCATATACAGTGACGTTGGCTCTGGAGACCACACTAAGTGGCTGCTGGAGCAGCTCCACTTGGCTGGCATCACATTTGTGCAAAGTCCTTTTCAGTTGAAGACCATTTTTAAGTGCCTTTTCTTTTAAATCAGCTTTTCTAAGTCCCTTCCCCTTCCTCCCATCAGAGACAAAGGGGTCATTTGGGGATTTAGTTTCTTTTGAAGAGATTACATTTAAATAAACCATAGCATTGGCTTTGTGTTGTTATTTCAACAGCACTGCCTCATCTATCTCTGCTACCCCTCTTAGGGAGCACCCAACTGACCATTAGGGGTGAAGTTCTCCTACTGATTTACCCCAGTATTAAGCTTTCCCTGTTCTTGGGGATAGTTTTCCCTCTTATAGCATCACTTGCTGTTTTCTCTCCTCCAAATCCCAAGAAAACAAAGGTTGGGCATCCCCCTGAAGCATTTCCTGGTGCTTTGGACCACCCAAATCGGTGGAAGTGGCTTGCAACTCTGGTTTACCTCCCCTTTGTTGTACCTTTGCAGCTCAAAGGGCAGAGCTGGGAACTTCAGCTGTGCCACGTGGCTTTGACAGTCCCCAGTCTGCATTTGGGCTAGTTTCTGGCTCAGAACCTGTGCTCCTGGAGAGTATCATCACCCTATTTCAACCCCTTCCAAGCCACCTGACTGCTTGCTGCAGCTCAGCAGTGAGCCCAGACCCTGCAGGCAGTTGGGGAATGGGGTAACTGCTCTCCTGCCCCTGGCTTGGGGTGTCATCTTCTGCAGGACCACATCGGGTCCTTTCTCCTTCTTCTGACCTGAGCTCAGTGGCTCTCACTTCTTGCAGAGGCTGAATGTCTGCACTTCAGCTTTGCCTCCTGGCCTCCAGTTCCACTGGGACCTTTGTACTGCAACAACCTGATCATACATGTGCTGATTCTTCCCTTACCTTAAAGGGCATCTCCCGTCAGCACCAAGATGGCATTAAAGCCATCCAAGCCTGGGTCTGTGAGCAACTATGGCCTTGAGCTCTTGTGTTCTCCTCACTTTGGCAGGGCCCCCAGATGTGAACACAGGGAAGGACACATCTGGCCTCAGCATGGCTCTATACTGACACCTATAACACTGTCCCTTAATCTTAGCTTCAAATCCTGACATGGAATGTGTTCAGACACCCAGGAAGGATGATACAACCCTTGACATCCCTCTAGACACACCAAGTCACTGTTGGGTCACCCAAGCACTCAAGGTGCTGGACCACTGTAAGTGCAAGCCCAGAGCCCATCTCTCCCATCCCAGTCACCTGTATGATGGGTACAAGACCTCAGAGGCTGCTCCTTCCCAAAATTGCCTTGTTTTAAGCACTGCAAAGCACCCAGCTCCCTTCTAAGGCTTTGAGTTCCTGCTCCTCCACTCTGTGTTGAGGTTTTGAATACCTAAAGCTACTTCTGGCTCATGGTGGCAAAGGCTTTGCTCTGGGTGCAGCTTGAAGGATACATGGCTCCAGTGTTTCTTGCTCCATCTCCTCTTTGTCTTCACCTGCATCCCAAGTGATGCCCAAGTGCTAGTTCCTTTTAAAGGAAAGTTAATTCCCTCTGTGCAATTCCATGTGAAAGCAAAACAGCAGTTACTGCCCCTGCCAGGGCAGAGCTACGATTTCCTTAAGAGAGAGGAACAAGGATTCAGCATCTGTAGCAACTCACAGAAGGAGAGGAGTTCACATCCAGAAAGCTGCTGGGGATGGGACAGGACACACCAAGACAGAGAAATCCACCTTAGAACAGGGGTTTGCCTTCACCCACAACTTACACCTGCTGCCAGCCCCAAACAGAGCAGCTTGGGGTGATGTGGGCCCTCTTCAGGGCACCCTTGTAGCCAACCAGCAGGTAATGCTGAGCTGGGCCTGCTTCCATAGACACAAAGACTGGCTCTAAGAGACCCCCAAAGCATCCCTCAGCCCCGGGTAGACGTTTTCTGCTTGGCCTCAGCTGAGCTGTAGGAAAACCTGCTCAGTGCCATCATGGGCCCTCTCATTCCATACCTTTTCCATCTCCTATTGCTATTGAGCCATCAGCCAACTTTGGATACTCACCCAGGAACATTCCCAACCATCTGGATTGTCCGTACTGAATGCTCTACCAGGAAATGAGCTTGATAAAGCAGTACTATTGACTGCTATCAGGCTGCTACCCACCTCTCTCTGGGCTGTTCTATGTCTAGTCCTGTCTCACTGCTGACTATGGGATGTTTTGGAGCCCAGTGTTCACTGGAGCCACTGAGCAGTGGTCCCCTTCGTGGTTTTTATGCCAACATTGGACTGGGGAGGGAGAAGGGGCACAGGAAGCTCAGTGCCTGGGTTCAGCTATTGTCAGTGTCCTGCTTTGGGGTCGGTTTGGGTGTTTGTTAAAGCTGGGACAATAAATCCATCCAAGGCACCTTTGTCCCCTCACCTCAGCCACTGGGGTTTCCCTTCACAGGGGGAGATGAACTGGGCCCTGATAACACTTTGTACCGTGCAAACAGCACCAAGAGAATCCCTGACCCCTCCCAGGAGCCTGTAAGAGGCCTCTGAGCAAGGACGGCCCCAGACCAGGCTGGAATCAAGAGCTGGAGCCCAAAGCCATCCCACTGCTGGCCCTGTCCCCATGGTATCATGGTGGGTCTCCCTTGGGCGCTGCAACAGGGGACACTGAGTGCTTCCTGCTCTGCTCCCAGAGATGCTGGCTCCAACCGAGCCGTTACTGCTGCCCAGTGCCCACTACATCATCAGTGCACCAAGTGGCCACCAACCCAAGACCATCCCTAACCTGGGTTGTAGGGACCTGGACAAGTGACCAAGGGCTCATGTAAGAAGAACCAAACTTGTTTCTGATTTATACAAAACTGCTTTAGTGACAAAAGAGCTGAAAACCACTCTTTGGTGCGTTTCTAGTGCCATCAAGAAGCCCCGTGTGGTCCCCAGACCTGAGTCCCTTCCAGGCCTCAGATCACCAACTGCATGGAAGGCCAAGAGGCTCTTCTCAGTCACCTTCTCCCAGTGCAACACATCCTAAGGGAGGGATCTGTCACTGAGACCACATAAACACCCTTCAAGACCCTCCACTGAGGACCATTTTCCTTCCAACCACACCAGTGTGGGCTGGAAATACCCCTGTGAAGTGCTCTGACATCACAGTTCCTTCTTGGATCAGGAGTGTTTCCATTGCTACCACTCTTCCCATCATTGAAGCCCCATTGACACCCATGGAGAGGGGAGCCAAACAGCAGCAGGAGCTTCAGTAAATGATGCTTCCAGCCTGGAGCCAGCCCAGCCAAGTCCCTGAGACACTGCATCACACCTTGAGAGGTGCTGAACCCCATGAGAGGGTGGGAGAGAGCAGAGTCCAAACCTCAGCAACCACTGGGCGATGGGGCGAAGAAATACACAGCCAGGAGGATGAAGTAAACCATCACCAGCACCGTGCCTAGAGGAAACAGAGCAGGGTGGAGGGGTTACAACATGGAGCAAGGAGGGAGGTTGCTTTCAAAACCTTCTAGTGAGGTCTGGATTAGCCCCACTGTAGAGGACTTCCATGGATCACTTTAAAGCCTCAATTAAAAGGGGTTTAAATTCTCTTTTAAGGATGGAAAGGGAGTGATCCCCCTCGGAGCTACTACAGGGTGGCAGCTCCATCCCTGATCCAGCACCTCCAATATGGTCAACCAAGACCTCAGAATTGCTCAAATCACCCCAGGCCAAGAGCTGCAGTAAGAAGATGACCCTAGGGCCATATCCAGCACAAGGAACATGGTCACACCAAGTCCCACAGCAACCTCATGGGTGAGTACTGAAAGTAATACCTTGGAAGTAGTCACATTTGCCATCCATGAAGATGTAGTTCATGAGCACCACGCTGAACATGCTGGCGTAGACATGGAGGTCGCTGAAGATAAGTGTGAAGTTGGTGGGCTACAAGGCAGAGATTTAGGGTTTAGGGTCTACCAGAACAGCCCCGCACTGACTGTGGCTGGGGCTTGAATGTCACCCCTTAGCCCCCCTGTGCCACATGTCCCTAGGGCTGGGGACAACATCAGCCAAGGTAGGAGGCATCTGACCCCCCTGCTCCCTGCAGTGAGGATGGTGCCTGCACCCTTGTCACATCTCATGGAGAGCTGTGTGTGCCCAAGCCTGCTGCAGGAGCTCACCCAAGGGCTACTCACATAGAAGATGGTGAAGAGCACCAGGATGGGGATCTGGAGCATGCAGACCTGGACAGCGATGCAGTTCCCAATCTCAATGCTGGAGAGGACAAAGGAATTAGGAGCTGCCAAGTGCCAGCTCCTCAGCAGCCCTTGGGTTGCTCAGGATAAGAACCACCCAACTTAAGGAACCAAACCACGCACCCCAACTTGGTTCTGCCCCCATTTTGGGGGTGGTTTTAAGTCCTTTTCACAGGGCAAGTTGGCAGGATCTGAGCCACCAGTGGCATGAAGCTGGGGAGCCCATCACTGGCACCAGGGCACAGCTATGGGACCAGAGGACATCCCAAACCCCATCCTGTGAGCCCCTCACCTCAGGCTCAGGTTGTTCTGCAGAGCAAACTGGATGCCATTGACAATCTCTGGCAGCTCAGGCACCATCGCCAGCACCGTGACACCGATGAAGTACTGCAGGGGAGAGGCAGATGGGATGGTTTGGGTTGAAGGGGCCTTAAAGCTCATCCAGTTCCAACCCCTGCCACAGGCAGGGACACCTTCCCCTAGAGCAGCTTGCTCCAAGCCCCTGTGTCCAACCTGGCCTTGAACACTGCCAGGGATGGGGCAGCCACAGCTTCTCTGGGCACCCTGTGCCAGCGCCTCAGCACCCTCACAGGGAAGAGCATCTGCCTAAGAGCTCACCTCAGTCCACCCTCAGCACGTGTGTATGGCCTCATCCTGACCCTGCACACCAAGCTCCTCAGTGCATGGAGCATCTCAGCACCTTTTCCCTCCCTGCTTTTGCGGCTTCAACCGCACCCAGGGGAGGTTCCCAGCACATCCTGGTCCTCAGAACCACCCAACCCTGCTGCATCCGCATCCCCGTCCCCATCCTCACCTGCGAGATGGTGGAGTTGGTGAGGATGGGGCTGATGTGCTCCGTGGCCAGGTCAGCACAGGCCGACATGCAGAGGGTGGAGAGCAGGAGGATGACCAGGGCCCGCCAGCGGGACCAGTGCACCACAGCGCTGTGGTGGTGGCCAGGCACTGGGGACAGAGCAGGGACATGGTGAGACACCCCAGGAC